CCCGTTCTGAAGCACCAATCTACCCTCGGGGGACCCAAGTTCCTCTATGTGGTGAGGTTGACGACAGTGTATTCGGTCGCATATGAACCGTTGACTGCTCACAGTGACGGAAGACGTGCCTTGTGCTTCTTTAAATGTACCAGTTATTTTTCTTTTCAGGTAAAAGGATAATAAGGTCTTTCGTGTTCCAGGCAAAGGTGGAGGAGGGATCGTGGCGCGAGGGCACAAAAATGGACAAATTATGACGCCAATGAGATTTTCGATTTACATTGCGTACTAATCCTTTCTGCAGTAAGGCGATAGTCACCCACCGGGAGACTTGAATCCATTTCATTCGCGAGAAACTGAATAATTTCTTTCGAGACGAGCCACTGCACTGTGATGCCCTCTCCCCACACTTCTCTTTCGATAAATCACCTCCACCTAATTAGGGTTGTGTCGAGTGTATCTAGTATCTTGTTGTAGTTGCTGCAAGTGATATACCACAATATCCGCGATAACCGTGCCCGATTGGAAACCTCGCTTCGTACTTAGTTTACAGAGAGGATTTATGAGAGGTAACTTGCAGGGCAATGCAGTTATGTCGTTTCTGTCGTGGTCATCGCAATGAGTGGGAGTTTCGTCGTAGCCGATCCAAGGAAAATTTGCTCATACTTCTGTGTGTAATGCTGGAGAAGAAAAAAGTGCAACTACCATATGCGAAAGACTTGTATCACGAATGTAAACGTTTACGCAAACGAATTTGTAAAAGCCATTACGAGGAAGCGGTAAGTGGTACTCAATACTGTAAATCAATCCCTTATATGGAGTGTTTCGATCATAGGCTTCTTATATCAGCGATACAGTGGCCGTGATCTGTAATGGTGCTGTAGAAGATCTCTTCAGCGTACCGGTTCATGTTGAGGAAGAATTGGTTGCTCGCTTGGAACCTCACAGGGTTGCTATTGATGTGAGTATTGTGTTATACATGCATCCATTCATTTTGCTCGGTACTGTACCTTTACGCCTCCACTTTGCCGCGACCAGGTAATTTTATTCAGAATTTGTCGTCATTAGCCGCAAATTTACCTACGCGGTTCGTTTCACCATAAAAATCACGTTACATCATCCGTTAATAGTTAGCCCCCTAACGCACACGCTGCAGATGCCAGCGCCAAAAGTTGCTTAGTTCCCCCACTGGTTGTTTGGTCTAGAGAATGAGGTTAACACTTTGACGAGAGCGCGGCAACTATATATGCCGCCATTTCCGCACCACGTCGGACATGGTGGCAGCTACGTACGCCACACCCATTACACTTGATTTTTTTCGCAGGTGTCGAATTCTTCATTAGTTTTTTTTCTGTGTTCATTCTATAGGGTATACAACAACATACCAAATACTGGCTTGGCGAAAGTTTCTGCCACAACTCAGCGTTCTTGTGATAACTTTCGCAATGTGAACTGCGGCGCAAAACAGCAGTTATCCAAAAAGGCAAGTCAAAATGGTAACATCTGGTAAAGCTTTCAGCCTTGCGGTTTACTGCCGAAATCGGCTGTGACTTCACCATCGAAGCTGAGGTGAGGTGAAATGATACCCCGGTGGTGTAACTGGTAGCAGTATTGCCCGGTAAGCAAGAGATCCAGGTACGAATCCCCGCTGGGGTGAAAGTTTTGCCCATAACTCGCGATCACCAAAATTACCACGTGGCTCACTAATGTATTCTTCAGTCTGCAGAAGTTTTCAGATTTATTCAGAGAATATCTGCGCGAGTCATTCCTCGTTTTCTATTTCATTAGCCGTGAAAAACACCCAGATTAAAGGTAGTTTAGAGTAAATTACAAATCTTGAGTTGCTGGACAAGATATGTGATTTGCATAGAAACAGCTACGTCCGAAATAATTGTGGAACCATTAAAGCAGAAAGAAAGTAAAATGTTGCATTTGTAGCACTAGTCATTTTCAGAATTGAATTCTGTTATTCAATAATTTGAATACATTGAAAAAATAATGAGAAACATTATTGCGCGTACTTTTGTGAGTAGTGCACCTCAAAAATCCATGCTTATTAGGTGATGGCGGCGCTGCAAAATCGAGCCGGTCCACAGATGCCCAGAAAAGCTAAGACGCGTCGAATGTCAAATCTGGAATTAAATATTCAGGCTTTTGTTTCTGAAAGTGAGGTTCGCGTAATTGCTTTCCGAGAATAAAAAGCAGCTGTATGCAGGCGGGGAGATGTACAGCAAGACTAAAGGCCTAGGGACACATCATGGTCTTCAAACACTATTAGGGATCCACCGCTCAACAATTAAGCTATTCCCTTCGCCGCTATTGAGGAGACTTTATTTTTATCCTCATCGATGGCTTTACCATTTATAACACTTCACATCTCCGCTGTCACCTGCAACCGTAATGAGGCAACAGTTTGTTCGCGGTTTTTGCCTCTATGCACCCACTTGTAACTTGGTTGGCATCCGCAATTCTTCACACACAAATCGCTTTGAATAAGACACTTGGATTCACAGTGAGTATAGAATACGTAGTGCGTTCAAACCACCGTCAGTTAATGCTGTTATTTAGGCAAGTTGTGAGCTCACCGGCTCCCATCTGGTTGCATTTCATTGTGAAAACACGAAGGATTTGAAGAAGGAACCTCAGGAAGGAAGCAAATCGTTTCAGGTTTACCATTTGATTGGTGTCCTTAACTCTCCACACGGTAATAAGTCATTGTAAAGGATACTTGTTTTAAGAGTGATGATGGCAGCAGTTTTGATCTCAATGAACCGCGTGTTTTTCCAATGTGTACTGAGGCAACTTCTATTGTGGATGCAGCAAAACAGGTAGTGCAATATCTGCCAATTTCAATTGAATCGTTGCCGTGCTAAAATAATTTTTTGAGGTTATGGTTCGCCCTCATTCGACTGGGAATCGCCGGCGTCCCGGTGGTGTGGCTTTGTCTCACGGATCTCGTAAAGGTGTGGGATTATTTCCTGTGCGCGTCAAAGAGTCGACGTCGCTAGTGGAGACAGAAAAGCCGGCAATGGTGCATATCTTTCTGAATTGAACGGCCGTCCATAAGGGTTGTCTTAGTTTATTAAGTTTGCTATTTCAGGTCATGATTTCATCTGGTTCGACTGTGGATCCTAGTGGCATTCTAGAATTAGACGAAACTGACCCAAAGTTGCTTGACGAGCAATTTCTTATAACGGGGAGCCAACTGCTGAAACTCTTCCGTTTCTGCCCGTCCTGCGGCACTAGAATAGCAAACCCAGCACAACGTGTCAGTTTGGTGGCCGTTGGGACAACGCCAGTTGTGCACTACATCTGCACAGCATGCTCCCCATTTGAGAAGCGTTTCGAAGGACAAGTGGAAGAAGCACCACATTCAAGTGAAGTGGGTTTCAAAAGCAGTACGGAAATTGCCATGGCTTCTGTATCAACGGAAAACATGTGTGAGGTATATCTC